GTTACTCCTGGGTGACAAGAAAGTTTGTTTGTGTGAACCCACTCCAGTACCTTAGACCTCATGATAGAGGGGACGAACAGGGTTCCGGGGGGTCCCAGGCCGGGATCGGGCTCCTCCTTGTGGGCATCGCGGACTTCCTGCTCAATGGGCCATGTGAGAGCCCCGACGATGCATGCAGAAGGAACGATATGTTCCTCGGGTTCGGGAACGTCTGGAGGAGAGAATTGATGAGACAGGGCATCTGGCTTGATATTTTTCGAGCCAGGTCTAAAAGTCAAAATATAATGAAAACGATTAAAGAACAAAGACCATCGTGCCTGTCTGGGGGTTAATCTCTTAGCATCCCTTAGATAAGTCAGGTTCTTGTGGTCGGTCCAGAGGAGGAAGGGGATCTCAGTACCTTCTAACCAGTGACGCCACTCTTCCAGGGGCAGTTTGACGGCCAATAATTTGCGGTTACCCACATCATAATTACGCTCGGCTTGGGACAGGCGCCGAGAAAAGAAGGCACAGGGGTGTACCTTATTGTCTCTGGGGGATCTCTGAGAGAGGACTGCTCCTACCCCAGTGTTTGAGGCGTCCACCTCTAGGATGAACTGGCGTTCGGGGTCAGGATGGCAGAGGATGGGTGATGACGAGAAGAGTTGTTTCAGTTTATTGAAAGCTGTGTCTGCGACTGTAGTCTATTTGAAGGTTCTATTGATGGAAGTAAGTTGAGAGAGTGGTGCGGCAATACGACTGTAGTCCCTGATAAAGTGTCTGTAAAAGTTTGCAAAACCTAAAAAACGCTGAAGCTGTTTGCGAGTCTCAGGAATGGGCCATTCGACTACAGCTCTAATCTTCTCAGGGTCGGTACGATAATGCCCCTCTCCGAAAATAAACCCCAGAAAAGAGACTGACGAAGCATGAAATTCACATTTTTCGCCTTTGACGAATAATGGATTCTCGTATAAACGCTGAAGTACCGTTCTGACCCTTCTGATGTGCTCCTCTTTGTCACGTGAGTAAATTAAAATATCATCGAGGTATACAAAAACGAAGTCCCCTAAAACGTCTCTAAGTACGTCATTCACTAGCGCCTGGAAGATGGCAGGGGCGTTAGTGAGACCAAACGGCATAACGAGATATTCGAAGTGACCTAACGGGGTTCGGAAGGCCGTCTTCCATTCGTCGCCTTCCTTTATGCGTACCAAGTGGTAGGCATTACGTAAGTCTAATTTTGTGAAGATAGTGGCTGACTGTAACTGCTCGTGTATGGAATCTATGAGAGGAAGAGGATACTTGTTCTTGACTGTAATATTATTTAACCCCCGGTAATCGATGCAAGGGCGGAGGGTCTTGTCTTTCTTGGAGACAAAGAAAAAACCGGCCCCTACCGGGGAGGTGGACAGACGAATGATTCCTGAATCAAGTGATTCTTCAATGTACTCTTTCATGGAATCCCTCTCTGGTCTCGAGAAGTTGTACAGGCGGCTGGCCAGTAAGGGAGCACCCGGAAAAAGGTCTATGGCACAGTCGTAAGGTTGGTGCGGCGGCAGAGACAAAGCTTTCTGCTTACTAAAAACAGGAGAGAGATCGTGATACTCGGACGGAATGGAAGTTAGATCGATCTCTTCTACGTTGGTGTCTTGTTTAATGGGGTTAGGGTTTCGCCCATGACCCCCGCTATGGAAATGGTAGGTATCTTTAAAGTGGGTAGGGACAATTCAGAAACAATACTTTGACTGATTAAATTTTGTTCTGCGCCGGAGTCTATGAGTGCAGAAACAGGGAAACGGTTGTGATTATTTTGAATGACCGTAGCAATGGTCAATCTACTTAATGGGGAGAGCGAAGAAGTCCCCACCAATATCTCCCTCTTTATTGGTGGGTGTTATCGTTTCCCCGAAACGGACAGGCGGCAATAAGATGCCTATCTTGGCCGCAATAGAAGCATAACCCTTGTTCCCTGCGTCTTTGTTTAACGTTGGGAGTTAGGCGGGTGTGTCCCACCTGCATGGGTTCAGATTCAGGTAGAGCGAGTGGAGGAGGAGACGCGAAGGCTTGATGACTCTGGGGTTTGTAGTACTCAGACGGATCTTTACTACGGACAACATTGAGTGACGGACCCAAACCGGAAGTGGTGGTCCTTTGGGAGTTGTAGTCTCGTTCGCGCCGCTGCTCGCGGAAATGTTCGTCGATTGCTATGGCTAAATTAATGAGAGCGTCGAAGTTGGACGGCTCGTCTCTTGCGGCGATCTGATCCTTTAACGGATCCAACAAGGAGTTTAAGAAAGTCCCCTGCAGCGCCCTCTCGTTCCACCCTGTTTGTGCCGCGAGGATGCGGAACTCGAGGGCGTGTTCGGCTACTGGTCGCCGGCCCTGACGTAAGCCCAGGAGACGTTTCTCAGCGTTAGGACCCGATAATGGCCTGTCGAATATTCTACGAAATTCAGTGAGTAACAAGCTAAAAGTGACAATTTTCAAATCATGTTGGCGGAGGAAAGAAGTTGCCCACTGACTCGTAAAACAAGTGATTTTAGCATTGTCTGTGGCGTAAAGTCTAGGGGCCCCGCTAAACGCGAGTTCGCATTGGAGGAGTAAACCGTCACATTGATCCGGGTCACTGGAAAAAAGTTCGGAAGGTTTTACCAATACCTGTTGCTCCGACGGGTGCCTCGCCGAGCATGTGCATGTCGGGCTGTTCACAGAAGGTTCTGCTGCGGCTGTAGTAGGAGAAGGGGAGAGAGTCTGTTTAATGGAGAAAACCATACCCCCAAGCTCCTGCAGGTTAGCTTGTGTCTGTTGTTGTTGTTTTATCAATTGGGTGAGGATCTTCTCCAGCTGGTTTACCCATTCCGTTTGCGAGGAGGACGTGGCTTGGTCGTCCAGAGCCTCGTTCTGGGTTTGGTCTGGCTGGAGCATTTCTGTTACGATTTCGGGCAACCCAGTTGTAACGAGACCCAGAACGACTCAGGCTACAAAAAGTGTTATTTATTTACAGTGTTGATATATATACAATATATACAGTCCCTGGGACCGGAACTCCTAGAAGAGGGGGAATAGTCTTTTAGGCAGGAGCAGGTAAGTGACACAGGTGAGTAGATATTGATATTGCTGTTCTTGTCTTACAGCTTCCTGGGCACTGGAGTGAGTTCAACGGGTCCAAGAGGCATGAGTCCCAGAGACAGCACGGACATCCAAGATCCGAAAGCCAAGGGCACGAGAGACCAGACAGGAACTGAGAGACCAGGACTGGAATGAGCACGGCAAAACGAGGAACTGCTGACACAAAAATCACAAGGTAAGTATCTCAAATACTTAGGAAACAAATGGCTGAGAGCATCAGTACCGGGAGGGAATCAATGCTCCAGCATCGAGTAGACTTGACTGCAGCCTTAAGTAGAGGTAGGAGCTCATCATCGAGATGACCGCCAGGTGTTGATCATCAGCGGCCATCTTGGAGCTGCAGCCAGAGCTACTCTCACATAAAGTGCTGTATGAATGGGTAAATGAGGACACAGATTGTAGAGTAAAGCGCTTTGAGTATCTTGAAATAAGATAGAAAGGCACTGTATACGTACAGTCCATTTACCATTTATGCAGAAAGTCGAGCTCACAGCTTCTCCAAGATTATTCCCACCTTCATGTGTGTTGCTAGAGAGACCACAGTCCTGATAACAGCCTGCTCCAGCTCTCTGATGCAAGTGCACATAATTCAGTCTGAGTGCTGCCGAGCTTCAACACATCCACACAAATTTGTAGACAAGCCAGAATTCACCAGCTAAACAGCACAAAAACAGTTGTCATCATTGTTTCTGGCGAGGGAAGAGGGTCCTCCTTACCCTGACTCCTGTCGGGAGAAGTTGATCAATTTTGTTGAGAGATTGTAACTGATGTATCTCTCAACCCCCTGTGAATAGCAAGCAGCCATCAGGGCACTAACGATCCATTGTTAGGCTGATGGTCCTCCTTGATCAAGTGAACAGCTAGTTTTGGTTGTCAGCAGCAAACTGGTCGATCCACTATGAGGAGGTGCTATTTATAAGACTGAGCTGAATACAGCACCTCAGACTGAAGAAGTCTTTCAGATGAAAGAAGAAACGTTTCTACAATTGTTTTATTTTTTTTAACCTGTCCAGCGGACCTGACTTAGCTTTTTTAGATAGATGTTAAACAACCTGTTAAAATACACCAGAATGCAAGAAATGGCATCTGATTTATTCAAAAATTTCTGGGGGAGAACCCCAAGACCCCCCACCAGTGTGCCCCCCGATGCATTACAAACGCTTTTGATGCCAGTGGTCACCATTAAGGTTCTGTTTTGAGTCAGAAGAGAACAGATGTAACACATTGTAATGACACTTTAATTGGTGATATGTCACTTTATCCATGCTGCTGTATTCATACACACTCACTACAGACTCATGTTCAGACTGCTGTTTAATATACCGTATTATTTTACATTATTAGTGTTTAGCATATATATATTAGATCCTTATATACTGTTTCTTTTTATACTTTATATCAGGGAGCAGTTGTGTTGAATAACCCTGATTTATATTTTCGCTCTTTTTGGGTGTAACTGGGAATTGGGTACACAATTTCATTCCACCTCATGTACCACATGTGATGTGAATGACAGTAAAGAATCTTGAACCTTGAGAAAACAGGAACAAACGATGCTGACGGTGTGAAGCAGAACTGTGGAAGTTTAACGTTCAGAGCAGCACAGCAGCTATTTCTGAGAACGCATAAAAACTCTAAAATAAATGCTCTTGTTGGGCTATAAACTAACCAAAGGATGAAGATTTCTGCCTCTTCATCCTCTGTGCTCTCTGACTGATGCTACGGCAGGTAACATACTTACTATTAATAACTATTAGACAAACGATCACTTCATAAATGACCAGAATGTCCCTTTAAAGTCCAAGTCAAGTTGCAGGTATAGGGTCCCTCTTGCCTGCTCCTGCTTTAACTTCAGTGTTTTGTTTCTGCTCCTCAGCTCTGGTGACATCATCATGACCTCAAGCTTCTCCGTCCTGATGCTGGTCCTGTCCAGTTTCCATGTGGTCCAGTCTCAGTTCAGGCTGTTCAACCTGCAGGCCAGCAATCTGCCCTCAGACCTACTCGGGACCACTGACGGCTACGTGAAGGTGTTCTGTGGTGCGGCCAGTCTGGGGAAAACTTCGGTCCGTAGGGACACGGTGGATCCCTGGTGGGAGGAGGAGTTCTCTCACTTCCTGGCTCAGGAGAACGATGTTCTGAGGCTGGAGGTCTACGACAGTGACCTGTTCTTTGATGACCTGCTGGGGGTCTGCCAGCGTCAGATCAAGTTAGGGAGCCACGAGCACGACTGTTTTCTGGAAAAAGGAGGCACCCTGCACTATTCATACACGCTCGGCCAAAACACTCAGTAGATTTGTGGACGAGTGTCATGAGGCCACCTGGACCCCGTGTCCAACTGACCGTGGTTCCGACAGAATCCAGATCTATGTTGATGGTTCAGCAGTTAAAACCAAACTTAATGAATTGTCATGTGGTTTCTTTGTTTCTGTTGGCCTCTCTCACCACTGTCAGGACAAAATAAATCAATTCTGCAACCAGAAAGAGTTCTTTTGTTCAGCTTCAGCTTCAGTTTCCATCTGCCCAGCAGACACCCCAACATTTGGAACACAATAAACAAATATTTAGACCCATGCATCATTTCATCCACCTCAACTAAAAGCCCAGTTCCAGCTGAAGGAAGCCCACAACATTGTGCTTCCACCACCGTGCTTCACAGTGGAGACGATGGTCCAGTCTTGTTCCTGCACCAAACAGGACCTTCAAACTGGAGCTCAGGGGTGTCCAAAAACTTACTTCTTTTTTTTTTCATTCAACCTGAGCCTCGGGGACTCATTTACAAGAGAGACCCAATTTCTTTAACAAAGAGTAATGGCAATAATAGACAATCATAAAAGAGGGATACAAATGTATTTATTTATTTTTTACAAATCAAAACAAAATAGCAACCAAAAGGACAGTGAAAAGGAAAAAGTAGCAAAAACAAAACCCACCTGGTATATTATAAGGCGGTGTAGAAAATTAAAAACAGGAACATGTCTGCATTGGTTCTTACCAGGAAATTAACAGATGTTTGAAGCCACTTAGTCAGAGTCAGAGAGTCAGAGTTTCTTTATTGTCATTCGCACCTCATGTGGTACATGAGGTGGAGCGAAATTATGTACACAGGGTCCCAGTTACATCCAACAATAAAATGTATAAGAAAAACAGTAATAACATCTAAGATATGAACTAAGAAAAACATCAACTAAATATACACTAAGCACTCATAACATAAAACATTGAACATCACCACAAACATGAACATGAGTCTGTGAGCAGATGTGCACGCATGAACACATCAACATTGAAACAGATCAGCAGCAACATGAAACAGATCAGCAGCAACATGATATGGTTTTTCACAGTGATTATTCTAGTTAGAGATTCATGAGTCTAACAGCCTCAGGGTAGAAGCTGTTCCTCAGTCTAGTGGTTCTACACTTAATGCTCCTTAACCTCCTTCCTGAGGGGAGTGGGGCAAAAAGTGTGTGTGCTGGGTGAGTGGGGTCCTTCATGATGCAGGTGGCCCTCTTCCTGCATCTGGAGGTGTAGATGTCTGTGATGGTGGGGAGGCTGATTCCAACAGATTTCTGTGCAGCCTTCACCACTCTCTGCAAAGCTTTTCTTTCTGCAGCTGTGCAGCCTCCATGCCACACGTTGATGCTGGAGCACAGGATGCTCTCCACTGCACACCTGTAGAAGGAGGTGAGGACTGAGCTTCCCAGACCAGCTCGCCTCAGCCGTCTGAGGAAGTAGAGTCTCTGATGAGCTTTCTTGATCAGGCTGGTGGTGTTGTTGCTCCAGCTGAGGTTGTCATTCATGTGTACACCCAAGTACTTGTAGCTGGAGACCACTTCCACCGCAGATCCTCTTATGTTCAGGGGGGTGTAGGTGTTTTTGTTCCTTCTGAAGTCCACAATCATCTCCTTTGTCTTCTTCACATTGATGTGAAGGTTATTCTCTCTGCACCAGCTCTCCAGGTGTTCCACCTCTTGCCTGTAGCTGGACTCATCATTGTTTGTGATGCATCCCACCACCGCTGTATCATCTGCAAACTTTACAATGTGACAGCCTGGATGGGTAGCTGCACAATCATACGTGAGCAAAGTAAACAGGAGGGGGCTCAACACACATCCCTGAGGAGAGCCAGTGCTGAGGGTTATGGTGGAGGAGGAGAGATTGTGGATCCTCACTAACTGTTAGAGAGGTCAAGGTCGAGAGCTTCAGGTCATTTTGCAAGATATTCCAGGAAACAGGAGCAAAGTAGGAGAAGGTCCTTTTGCCAAGTTCAGTCCTCACTGAGGGAACACTGCAGGTAATAATGTCCTGAGAGTGCACGCTGTAGCTGCACTCATGCAGAGACATGTAGGAGATGTATTAAGGCAACAGATCAAGAAGTGATTTAAAGATGAAAATGTACCAGCGGGAGAGTCTGCGTGAAGTTAATGGTGTCCATTTAACCAGTGAATACAGGGTGCAGTGATGGGTACGGTAGTTACAGCCAGTTATGAATCTTAATGCACCGTGATAGGCAGCATCCAGCATCTGCAGAGTGCTTGTAGGGGCGTTCATGTAAATAATGTCACCGTAGTCAATGGAGGGAAGGAAAGTCACAATTACAAGGTGTTTCCTAGCATTCAGAGTTAGACAGGATCTGTTTCTGAAAAAGAAACCCAGTTTAACTTTCAGTTTCCTTACTAGGTTTTCCACGTGGAGCTTAAAAGAGAGATGCGAGTCGACCAAGATACCCAAATATTTATAGGAATCGACAAACTCAATAGGGACACCATTTGAGGATAAAATCAGAGGACGAACTGATGGAACTGACTTCCTGTTTGAAAAAAAAAGCATCCTTTTGGTTTTATCGGCATTTAGGACAAGTTTGAGATTAAACAAATCTGACTGGATGATGTCAAAGGTGGATTACAAAAGCTGGAAAGCCTTAGCAACTGTTTTAGCTCGACAATAAACAACTGTGTCATCAGCATAGAAATTTAAGGATGCATCAAGGATGCTCTGACCTACATTACCATGTAGTTTGTAAAGAGGGTGCAGGGTCCTAAGACTGAGCCTTGTGGTACACCATTGTTGACTGTTAAATAACTGGAGGAAATACCATTATGTTGAACAAATTGCCTCAAATATGAAAGATAGTTAGAGAACCAACCAATGGTGTGATCTGAGAAACCAATTTCTGAGAGCTTATGGCAAAAGATGTCATGATCCACATTGTCAAAAGCTTTAGACAGGTCTAAAGACAGGTCTTTGTGGGCCAAAACTATCCAGATGAAAGGACTCATGGGCCACCAAAAAAGTGAATTTAACTCTCAACATGAACAATATTTTGGAGAAAGGACAAACGTTTACTAAATTCGGTGGAGAAAGTTTTAAATTGTTGTAGATCTGTAATCCACACACACTAAAGCATATACTAAAGTATACTGCCGCGTACGCCCATACGCAGAGGTACGCATGTACGTACGCGGAGGTATGAGCGTACCCCCAGGGCATGTCTATGCAAAGCTCAAATTTTTAAGACCGCATACACGTACGCGGTGTCGCACAATGAACTGCCCAGCGACGGACTGTTTTGTATGTGACACCAATGTATTAAATTCCCCTTCTTCATCTCTGACCTGGCCTTTTCTTTTGTTTTTTATTTTTTTGCCAAGAGGCAGTGATCTCTTCCTCCTCCGTTGATGCCATGACTGAAATGGTGAGAAATTAAGGAATTTGTCACAAGCGAATTAAACTCAGGTCCAGCATGGCTGCAGGAGGGTCTGGAGATTTCCTGGTGGGCTGGTCTGATGTGTGGGCTGTAGAGCCAGTGCTCTCAGTTTTTATAGGTTTTTTTTTTAGATCTTTTTATTAACAACATATAAACACAGAACACCTCTGTGGCTGAGGCTGCCAGCGCTCGCGTTTTTCTTTTTTCCAACCTGTCAATCAATCCAGTAGGCGTGTCAGCAAATGACCAATCGGCGACCTCAATTTGTCCCGAAGGTAAACTCCCCTTGTCTGTGAAGCTGCTCTGCAGCCGCTCAGGGTGTACACTGGAGTACGAAGTCTGAACCCTCTGCGTACAGTACACACGTACGTACGCGTGAACGGACGTACGCAGCAGTATACTGGGGGCTTTAGTGTATTGTCACTAGGGATGGGGCCGATCCGATCCAGTATCGGTATCGGCCTCCGATACCAGCATAATTTACGTATCAGATTTTCTGATATTTCCAATCCATGATGCAAGTTGGCTTCAAACTATGGAATGGATTTCCTGAACAGCAGCGTGTCTCATGAGCCCAGAGTAATAAGACCCGCCTCACATTCAGGAAATCCAGTTCATAGTTTGCAGCCAGCTACAACGTGAGGACTGAGTTAGCAGCACTGTGGCTAACAGCTAACCAACTTTTCATCTAAACATGTTCGCTGTGTGGAAATATTTTACACTAGAAACACCACAAAATAAGACAGCATGGTGCAATGTCTGCAGAGCCATAGCGCCACATTAAACCGCGGTAAAGTTAGTTTTACGTTGGACATTGGAGCTCCGTGGCTTCAGCGGGGCACTGCTCTTTGCTCAACTGAAAGAGGCGACTCGACACCAGCCAGCCGCGTCCAATCTGCCCCGCTCAGTCTGCCCGTCTCTGAGGAGGGACAGACTGAGCGCGGCTGCCCCAAATCAGGCTGCCTGCTTCGGATTGAACAAGAAGTAGACGTCGCTGAAACCACGGAGCTCAAATGTTTACCCAGAAGTTGCTAAACTTCATCATAATTAATGACCAACCACTATCAGTTGTAGAAAACGAATGATTTTGCAGCTTGATACATGCAGCCAAGATATAGTTTACCCTCCAGGAGATATTTATCAGTACAACAGTAGACAATCATAAAAAACACATGATTTGAAAATTATATTAATTAAAAACAAAAACAGCTAAATTATAAAGTGATGTAAAATACTAAAAACAGGAATATGTCTGTTGGTTTTTGCCATGAACTTAGCAGATGTTTGAAGCCATTTAACATTTAATTTAATTAAATTAATTTATTCATTCATTTAAATTAAACAAAATAAAAAAAATCATCAAAAAGAAAATACTGAAGTGCAGAAAGAAGAAAAAAATCTTATATCTGCCCCTTATAAAATATAAAACAACTTTAAACAATCACTTAAATTAATCACTTTAATATCCACTTTAAAGCTAGGAATAAAAAGAAACATGTTTTGTGTTAGCAGAATTTAATTCTAACTTTAAAACTTTTCCAACATAAATAAAACTTACCTCAAGTTGCCTTTTTGGACATGCATGCATTATTTGTACAAATTGTACTTGAGAGGAGATTATTACAGCCTCATATAAAATCAATGACGATCATGATATTGGAACTGGATCCGTATTGGCCGATACTCACATATGCCCCTTTTCCACTGTCACGGCGCGGGTCGGATATTTCCGGGTTGAAGCGCGTTGGAGGTATTTCCACTGTTCCAGAAACCGGCTCGTCTCGCTAAATTCTGGCCCGGCTTCTCAAGGGTTCCGAGCGAGCCGCGCCGTGACGTCAGAAACACTGTCGGTCACTGATTGGTCGGGGGGAGGAGTCTGTGGAGTCTTTCCAAACAACCCGATCCACCATT